AGATGCAAGAGTCGGGATCCATGAAACACATACATGGTAGAAATAAGTCCTTTATCGATGCATGTTCGACATTTAGAATCCAGTGTCGCACAGTTCTGCTTGAAAAAAGATACCTTTTTAAAAGATAAATTTGTGCTGGGTAGCCCTTCCAATAGTTAGCTAACCTGGGAGCGCAGAAACACAGCCATCCACGGGTTCAAGCTCTGTGACAGACCCTGGGGACCAACAAGGGATGAATGTCACCATCTTGCCTCGCTGATACACTTGTCTGGACGTGCCATTGTTGGGGAGAGGCTACGGGTTAGAGACACCCGTGGCAGGTGTAGCTCCTTTGGCCGCCCGAGGTAAAGGGCAGGATGGCACGCGTGCACGTGCCCGTTCCACGCACCAGACCCCACTGCAGCCCTGTCCTTATAAGCCACGCCTTGGGTCTCATGCCCAGCCATTTGGCACGCACATCTCTGCACTCCGCTATCCCACCACTGCAGCCCACCCCACTGGGCCCACAGCCGCATTCTGCCAGACGGTGGGGCTGGCCATGGCCATTGGAAAAATCCAGTCCACTGTGGAATCTGCAAGTCCGAATCATGGAAATCCATGCTCATTTAAAGCCACAGAACCTCTGAGTTCTCCAGCGCACCTGGGCCTCAGTCCTGGATGTACGTACACGCAAAGTCCACATGAAGCCAGTGGGAGTTACTCCCATACTTATAAGCAGGGCTGCCTCGGCTCAGCCCTCTGCGTAGGCAGAGGAAGGCCGCCCCACCAGGCAGCTGATTTGGGGTAACAGGAAAAAGCAGCAAATTGCTTGTTTAATTTGCTGTTATCATATTTCTACTGCCAGGGAGATGGAGAGGCACCTGCTGGCTTTTCTACCTCAGCTGCCGAAGTCATTTGATGTATCTTGGTTGAGCAGAGTGAGGCTTACTGCTCTTCCTCGGGCAGCAAAATGCCTTGGACCGGCCCAGTTCATGACTGCAAACTCAGAGTCGCTACTTCTGAAAGTCTGTTCGGCTGCCCCCCACCAATCCCCTGGTCCAGGCCTCTCCCTGTGGAATATTTAAATGCCTGCTACATGCAGCACTGCCAATATTCTGATTTATTTATCTATTTGGTGACTGCCCCCAAATTAAACTTGAATTTGAAGCAGAATGAAGTTGCTGCTGTGATATCGTGCCTTGCTCAGGTTTTACAGATTTTGTCCTAAGAGGCGACAAATCCCCCCCACCCCAAAGCAAACTTGCCCTGATCAGAAGGGACGTGTTTTTATTATAACCAGACAAAACATTTAGAGGCAGTGCTAGGAAGATGCTCACTAGAAACCCCGCATCCAAAATTATATCTAAACAAGCATGCATTTCTGCTAGTAGACTCTGAATAATTAACACTTATGTGTGTGCGGGTGGGGAACTGTCAGCGGCTGTTCCACGCCTGAACGTGGCTTTCCCATGCTGGGTGGGGGCATCCCACCTTTCCACGCTGATCTCCCCCAGCCACTCCCATGGCAGTCCATTCTTTTCCCCATCTGTCCAAGCCAGTGGTGCACTTAGGGCATCTCTGAGGGGAGAGGTGAAGAGGCTCAACTGCCAGGGAGGGATGCTCTTGGAGCGAGCAGCTCTTCCTCTAACCCCTGCTGGGCCACGTTTGTTGCAGCTGGTTACTGGTGAAGGGAAGCCAGTCTGCACATGCTCAAAGGAACCAGTGTGCAGTTGAGGCCAGGGCTTCCAGGGTCAGTGGGGTGCTGAATCCACTCTGGGTTTTCGTCTGAACTTTTAAGGCCCTCTCCATGGTGTTGAACCCTAACACAAATATGTTCAGAACCAAGGACAGCTCTTTAAACTGGTCAGGCTAACCCTTAGAGTAGATACACTGCTAGTGATTAAAATCTAGGACTGGGCCTCAAGGAATCTGGGCTCTTGCTTCCACTTGGCCATGAAGCTTAGTGGGTGACTTTGGAGCAGCCTAATTTACCTTGCAGGGTTGTTATAAAGATAAAACGGAGAGCAAGGCTCAATAAGCTGCCCTGGTTTCTTGTAAGAAGGAGAAAAAAAGGCCAGCTATAGTGATAATAAATATATAAATAAATAATGGCAGTTTCTTTTTATTAATATACACTATATTCCTGGGATAAGTGGTAGCTCTGAAAACAAATCCCACAGCTTAGGCCTAATGAGCTGTGGCTCAAATTAAGTTCGAAGTCAGACCACACATTTAATGGAACTATTTGTGTTGCCTCCTGTGACTCTGGGAAACAAAGCCATTAAAGCTGCAATCCTACACATGTTTAAACAAACAAAAAGGTCCTACAACTCTCAGTATTCCCCAGAGAACCATGCCAGCTGGGAAATGCTGGGATTTACAGCATTTCATAGGCATGCATAGGATTCACTTCAGGACCCAAGACGGTATTCCTTCTGATTCCTGCAGGCCCTGTTGTTGAGCTCATGGCCACATTTGCCAAAAGTTTTGGGGCAGATGGGAAGTTTGCCAGGCTCTAGCAACTCTGCATGGAGTTAACAATTTTACCCCAGTTGCAAACTCGCTTGCTATCATGGCCACGAGTATCTCATGCATAGCTTATGTAGCATCATAAATATCAATCTACCTATTGGCTTCATAGCTTCCAAACAAGGAACCCCTGAAGAAAATCTGCAATAGGATAATGGGCCTCTAATAAATTATAATCAGCTTTATCATCACAGGAATATACTTTCCAAAATCCTTTCAAATATATCCTGATAATAAATGCAGGCTTAGGCTGTAATTGAGTTGTGGCTGAGCTTTCCTCATTGGGCAAAATGGCTGGCAGCTGGCTATAGGGCAATCCCTCTAGGATTGCCCCCTGGGGCATTCTACTGAATAGATTGCCACTGAGAAGTCCACAACCATATAAACAGATGTCAGGGAAGGGAGCAAAGAAACCCAGGGTGAATTCCACCCACAGAAGGATCCTTGCTGTATTTTAGCAGTAGCAGAAGGGACAAAGCTACATTACTGTAGCCTCTCTCTCTTTTTCCCTGAACCAGTTGTTAGGACTTCTCTCCAGCTCTTGGTGCAAATTGACATTTGAACTAATAAGTGAGGTCTTTGTTTCTGCCATCCTGTCGACACACACTGTGGACCCAATCCAACAGGCAGTCTTCTTAAGCAAGCCTCTTTGACATGACCTGGAGTTGTGTAAGAGGACCACCATTCATGTCAGTGGGACTTCTTCAGGAGATGGGAGAAAGCTACAGTAAAAAGCTTTCCACTTCCTTCCCATTTAATTGGCTTTCTCCTTCCTCTCTTACGTACATTGGATCCAAGGTTACATTTCAAGCTGCTTTCCTTCTTTAAAAGCCTGCCATAAATTTTGGTGTCTGTCTTCCAATTGTAACTATATCATATAATAAACAGGATGGGTGTGAAAAGTGCTGCTGTGAGAACAGCTTTGTGTATGGGTTTGGCAGAAAGACACACACACACATACATTCTTTTTGTTATGCAAATGGTATAATTATATTTTAAAACAGAAAGGCATTCTCTTGTCACTGCAGTGGAAATGAAGAAGGTTTCTGCCTTCTTAAACTCCCTTACAGTCTAATTCTCTCTCGCTCCCCCCCCCCCCCCCACACACACTGACTTTTAAAGAAAGAGTCCTTTCCACTCCTCTTACATTTCCTAGCTATTAAGGTAAGGGAAAATTATTGAGGATCTGATGTGTATTCCATTTTTCTAAAGCCAGCCCCAGTTTAGTGAAAAGAAAAGTGTCTGGAAATTGCTAACTTTTGTTTAAAACATTGGTGCACTGGACACATTGTTATGTCTGGGTTTAAGCTTTGGAGGTGGGTGGGGGGTAGATCTGATGTATATATAAATAGATGCAAGCCAATAGATTCCTGAGCTCTTGGGGGGGGGGAATCTGTGTGTGCCTTTCCTCTGAAATCATGCAAGTATTTGGATCAGAACCACTCAGCAAGATTAAAAAGAGGGTTGAAAAGAAAAGAAAAGAAAAGAAAAGAAAAGAAAAGAAAAGAAAAGAAAAGAAAGCCCCTCCTTTTAAACTTCTCACAGCGTGCGCGCCCCCCAGGCCCCAGCGAGCCCGGCATCATTGCGACAACTCGCCTTGCTCTCTGTGTAGAGGACCTTTCGGTGGTGAGTTTAGTCCAACCCAGGATCGTCCATGTTAAGTTCGAGTCCCTCTTATCTCCCCAGCTAAAAAAGAGGAAGGAGCGCGGGTGCGGGAGGGAAGTGGAGTGGGCTGGGAGGAAGAGGAGATGCCCGAGGGAATCGGAGCGAATCCGTCCCGGAGGGCGCGCTAGACAGAGACCTGCTCCGGTTTCCTCCCCGTCCTTCTTCTCTTCCCTCGAGAGTTACATCTTGATTCCATTTTCTAGTCCTTTTCTGGAATTCCATGTTATGACTTCAGCCCTAGAGAGAGAAATCCCTGCCTAGTAGGGCAGGAAACGTTGAGAAACCCCTTCAACAGATTCTGGAAAAACTTCCAAGTCATGAATTGGAGACAGACGTGCGAGGGAGACACAGAGACGGGGACCTCCACTAACACAACGCGCGCGCGCACGCACACGCGCCCGTCCTGATGGCCCAGTGGGAAACGAGTCAAAATCTGGCAATGGGAGGGGGGACAGAAAAAGGAAAAAAGGTAAGGAGCCTGGCAGTGCACGGGGGTGGGGTGGGGTGGGGTGGGGTGGGGTGGGGGGTTGCCGGCCTCCCTTCGGCTTTGAGCGCGGGGAGGGCATGCGGACATACAAATCGCGCTGACCTCCTAGCATCGCGCTGCCTTTGCGCCCCCGTTTCAAACATCTGGAGAAACTTGGGGGATGCAACAGCAGCCGCTCGCCCGGGCGAGGCGCCACTCTTCGGCTCGGCGGGACGCAGGAAAAGTTCTCTTACCTTGGAAGCTGCGGGCGGGGTGGGCGGCGGGGCCGCGCTGCCGGGGCTTACCTTGGCAGCGCCAGCCGCCGCCACCTGCGCGGCCGCCAGCTCGGGGGAAAGGATATGGGTTGCATACCATCCGCAGGCACCAGCTCCTGGGGCGGCTGTGCTGGCTCAGGTAGAAGAAGACGACGGGGGCCAGGGCCGGGTAGGGGAGCGCCTCGCTTTCCGAGTCGCCGCTGCCCGGGTCCTTCTCCTTGTCCGCCGGGCCCGCGCGACCTCCATCTCCGGAGAGATCGTTAAGGCGGACGAAGGTTTTGGAGTGGCTGTCCTCGCTGGCATCCTCCGGCTCCTCCTCGGCTCCTCGGGGTACATCCTCGTCCATTCTCCGGCTCGAAGACCCGGGTCCGACGAAGGGTCAGGGAGGGTGCGCCCCGGAGGCAGGCAGGCAGGCAGGCAGGCAGGCAGGGGAGCGCGGAACGCGGGGGCTCTCAGGCGGCAGAAGGCGCTGCTGGCCCTGGGGCGGGCGAGGAGGCGCTGCCCATGGGCGGACCGGGGCACGGAGCGGATCGGGAAGGAAGGGGCTTCAGAAGAGACGAGGGACCGTCCGCTCCCGCCTGGGCGGTTGCGCAAGTCCCGTTCTCCCCATCGGGATCCAGACCGGCGCCGGCGCGGAGCTTCTCGTCACTTGGATGCTTCTTCTCCAAGAGCCCGAACCAGCCGGGAAGGCGATCCGCGAGGAAGCTGCGATGGCGAGTAAGCCGATCCCGGATTACCGAAGAAGACGGATTGCAAGACCACGAAGGTCCACCGCGCTCCGCCGCTGCCCAACTCCGCGGCGCATCCCCCGGGCGAGCGGAGAAGGGACGCCCGTATTTGGAGACTCCGCTCCTGCCCCTCTAGCCTGGCTATCCTCGCTGTGCCAGTAACGGGGGCGATGGGGGGCAGAGAAGATGCGGATCCCGGCGACTCCCCCGTAGACTCGGCGGGCTCCTCCCGCCCTGCGGGGGCTCCCCAAAGGGGGTGGGGGCACGCTGCTTTGGCGGGGGCGGCGGGGCGGGCGGTGGCGAGGAGAGGAGAGGAAGCGCACCGAGCAGGAGCTGCGGAACGAGCGGCGCTCCTCTCGCCGCTGCCTCAGTCGGACGGGAGAAGCGAGCGAAAAGCGGCGAGCTCCGCGCACCTCACAGCTGGATCCCTCATTCCAACTTCAAGCCGGAGCTCCGCCCCGCAGCCGCGGCCTCCGCCAATCCGGCGCCGCCTGTGGCCCCTCGGAGCCCCCTCATTGGCCGCGCCGGGCAGCAGTACGCCAAGGATGCAGCCCGGGCGGGCGGGCGAGCGAGGGAGCCGCCACAGCTGGAAGCGGCCCCGGTTCCGAGGGCTCGGCTCGGCTCGGCTCGGCTCGGCTCGGCGGTGCCCGCGCGCCCGCCCTGCTCCCGGCCGGCCTCGGCCCGCTGCCCAGCTTCCGACACGGGCCGCGGGGAGCCAATGGGGCCGCAGGACGGGGCGAACCCCCGCGCGGATTGGCCTCCGGGAGGGATCGGGACGGAGCCCGCTTCCCAGCGCGCCCGCCGCCAACTTCCCTCGTGGGCGCCGCCGGGAGCTTTCCTCGCGCCTGGTTCTGCGCCGCGGCGCCCGGCGAGGGCCGTCGAGCTCTCCGGGCGCGCGGGGGGAGCTGAGCGGGGGGCGAGGGCCGGGGGAAGGGGCCAGGCGACCCGTGCCGCCCGGGCGGAGCTGAGCCACTGGGCAGCCGCCGGGGAGCAAACGAGGAGCCGTCGGGATCCACAGAACGCGCAAGAGCTGTTCTGGGAAGGACGGGGCCAGTGGTCCCCACAGCCCTTCGCCCCGCTGCCGCCTCACGGGTGAGGACAGCGCACGGCAGGCGCAGGCCCCGGCCCCGGCCCCAGGAAGTTCAGCAGAAGCGGCCGAAAAAGTAGGGCGGGCAGTCCCCCACTTGGTCTGCAGGTCTTTTCAGGACATAACTGTAAACTATTCTTTAAACTTTAAACTATCTGTTTGGCAAAGAAAATGTAGGGGAGCAGCCCCCCCGCCTTCAGCTCACCCGTGCCTTCAGGTTCCGGAAGGTGGCACCTCCAAATGGCATGATGGGGCTGGTTGAGGGGCCTGACTGGGAGCCCATCCTGGTGGGGAACTGGTGCCCAGTGGGCTGACACCAGCACCCATCTCTTGCATCCTGTGGCCATACCCAGTGTAGAATGCACTCCAGCTTCAAAGGCAGTCTGCTGGGGAGAGTCTGATCTCCCCCTCCCCAGCTGGAGACTCACCTCAAGCATCGGCAGTACAGCGCCTGCAGGCCCCAATCCTCTGGGCAGGCTACTGGTCCTTTGTAACTAGCCATGGTCACCTGTGGTACCCATTTTTTGGTCCCTCTCAGGATGATTTCTCAAAACTTGCAATTTTTTCAAATGAGGCAGAAAATGCACATCCATAGCTGCACATACGTTCCAGGTGGTGGCCTGGTTAGAAAGCTGGACTAGGACTGGGGAGACCTGGGTACAAATCGTATTCAACCCCAAAGCCCTCTAGGTGGCCTTGGGTCAGTTGGTGTCTCCCAGGCCTAACCTACCTTGCAATGTTGTTGTGAGTATAAGAAGGCATGGGGCAGAGGAAGATTAATGGGGGGGGGGGGGGTTAGATACATGAAATCAATCAAAAGCATATTATGCAATGTGGAGCATGGGGGTTACTGGTTATGGGCTATTGCTCCTTCCTCACTTTAGCTCAGCAGTGCCTTTCTCCCCCTGGGCTTCTGCCTGCCTGCCTGCCTGCCTGCCTGCAGCACTCCACAGCTTTTGGTGCTCTGAGAGCTCTTTTCTGACTCAGTCTCCTCTAAAGTCAGCCTCAGAAGGGCAGGATAAGGAAACAGCTGAACTAAGCAAAGAAGGGAGCACACGGAGGGAATGCCACTTAAGAGGGATGAAAAAAGAAAGACAGACACGTGGCTCAAAGGAAGAAAATTGATAAGGGAAAACCAGCCTGGGGATCTGAGTATCCGGCGGCATGCAGTAAGCAGGTCACCCAGCTGGTGGGCTTCTGATGTCTGGATAGGCAAGCGAGAGCGGAGAGCAAAAAGGCACGTGGAATTAGCATTATCAGCAAAAGAACGACGGGATTTAACAACAGGCGTTCAGTGAGAGCTGGTGAGAATTGAAGGCAAAGGGATGCTGCTGAAGAGCTAAGAAGAAATGTCAGGAGCGAGAGCTTGCTGAAGAACAGCCGGAGAACTTGGTGAAAGAAAAGTGCCAAGGAGGCTGTGTTGCAGGCTGGCCAGTCAATTTTCAACAAAATAAGAGCTAGGGTGCCTCTCCTAGTAGTCTTCACTTCAGTCCCAAACATATCCAGGCCATCCTAACATGGGAATATGCTTGGCATATCAGGTCTGTAGCAGAGATGGGGTGAATGCTTATGTAAGACCTTTCTGAATGCACATGCACTGGGCTCCAGGACAGCCTCCATGGTAAGCCAAAGCACAGATTATTTCAGCTAGGTGAAAGTATCCTGAAGCATCACAGAAATTTCCCACACTAGACTGGGAAATGCAGGAGGAATTCTCCAGTGTCCAAAAGCATTTCCCCATGGAGCCTTAGGGGTGTCACGGTAAGGAATTTGTCCCCCCTGCATAGACATTCACACCATTCTATGTTAAGTTGTTCTGCATTAACGTAAAACATGATTATCATTTATAAAGTACTTTAAAATCATGATTTGACCTTTGCACTATTAAAAACAATTCTATTAGTATCGTTTAGAATATAGCCAATGAGGGGCCGGGGGAGTGGAGAACAATTTGCATTAGTAATAGCTAGGGATGTACCCTCGTACATCTGATCTGGCTGCATCCTGAGCCAAGTGGGGTGCTTTCTGTGCTGAAGTGGGCTTCCCTCAGGAAGGAACAGCGCCAAAAGTGGACTGAGCATAGGCTGAGTTCTCAGCTTAGCTTGGCTTTGCTTTGGCAGATATCATCTCTCCAAGAAGTGTCTCTAAACTCCAGGGTTTAAGTGACTGACAGGCCCACCCTCTAATCAAAGTGCATGTTTTTACCAGGGGTCTCCAATCACTGGTGAAGTGCAGGGATGGGACTGGGAGATGGCCATTATTCCAGTGTTACCAGTCCTCACTATGAAAATAGCCTCAAGCTGGTCTTCATAGCCTCTGCACCTTTCCCACTGAAACTTTGCAGGATTCTTCAGTGGCGACCTTTCGATGAGCTGTTGCCATTTCCATACAAACTGCTCTCCAAAGCACAGGGGAATGGAAGGGGGAGTTAATCACACTCAAATCTGAGGGCTCCAGATAGACCCCTGCCCCTGTCCTTTCGTTTTTCTTACGGACACCTCTATACTGTCTGTGATTTTCAAAAGAGTAGTTCATAACAAGCGATGGAGGATTGTGTAAAGTCTGCTTTAGCACAAATTTTCCTGCACTTACTCATCTGAAAACTTGCCAGGCATGATCTCCTGAGAAATGACATTAATCCCTCATCCCATTCTACCGAGAAAAAGGTTATTGGCAGTTATCATCACCATCACCATCATGTTGCATTTATAACCTGCCTTTTTCCTTTTGTGAGGAACCCAAGGAGGCTTAAACAGTTCGATTTGATCATCACAGCAACAGTCCCTGAGCTGAGAGTGAGTGACTGGCTCAAAGTCACCCAGTGAGCGTCGCGACCTAGAACTCGCCTCGCCTCGTCACCCCTCCACACTGGCTCTCATGGCTCTCAGAAAAAGAGGCGGTTAGAACACAAAACGTCCGCACCCATTTTTCTGAAGTGCGGCAGGTATAATCACAAATACAAGCATGCTTTAAAAAAAAAAATGGTGAAGCCTTGAATTTCTGAATACTGATTTGAGTTTGGTACCTGAGCCAAAGTGGGTGAGTTGAACAGAACTGGGCCCTTTTTCAAAGCACTGAATTGGGCCCTGAGTTAAATCCTGCAGCCAGGGCATATTTCTAGTAGTTTTGTCCCTAGGAAGACAAAACACGGACAAAATAGATTATAAAATAAATGATTAAACATTTTTACAAATCTACATGTTGTACAAAACAAGACAATGCAAAAGTATGCCTGTTTCAATATACATTGCTAAAGAATTTTCTTAAAAGATTGACTCCAATTACCTTCTCTGCTTAAAT